CTCCCCATCTTCCCTAGCATTTGGAAGATCGTGATAATAGTCTATAGACCGACCAGTCATTCAGTACAGGCTAGAAACGAAAGTGATAAACCTGTGTATAAACATCCAAATAAAAATGATTACCTCCTTAAAAATCTTTGTCCATTCTTGCCAGTAACGAAGAGCTAAAAGCAGCCCTTTATCCAGCACTACTAGTTCTCATGGCCGTGTTCCCCAGGACAGGAAAATGACAAGCAATGCAGGTATGATTCAACTTGCCCTAAAGCAGACAACTACCAGCCAGGTGGCTCTGTTGTATTCTCTGCTCTGAAGTGTCTGTTGCCTGGGCTCCAGTTCTGGCCCAACTGATGGGTCATTTTCTCATACTTCAGTAAATCTGTTTATTCTGTGAGAGAAGGATTGAAGAGAACTTGTTTTATTCTGTTTTGGGTTTTTTTTTTTTGTTTTGCATTCTCGATTTGGTTTGAGATGACAACACCTTAAACGTGAAATGTCTATATATGAGCTAGTGTATGCTTTTTCATATAACATCTACAGCCATTTTTTGTATGCAGTCATCACAGGGGTCCATGATGTGACAGAGGAACTATTGGAGATTCATGGCCTTCTGTAGCAGCTGGCATAAGGCACCTGAACTGTCACTAGGTGCTCACAGGCAGGAGATGGAGCTGAGCCCAGGCAACAGACACTTCAGAGCAGAGAATACAACAGAGCCACCTGGCTGGTAGTTGTCTGCTTTAGGGCAAGTTGAATCATACCTGCATTGCTTGTCATTTTCCTGTCCTGGGGAACACGGCCATGAGAACTAGTAGTGCTGGATAAAGGGCTGCTTTTAGCTCTTCGTTACTGGCAAGAATGGACAAAGATTTTTAAGGAGGTAATCATTTTTATTTGGATGTTTATACACAGGTTTATCACTTTCGTTTCTAGCCTGTACTGAATGACTGGTCGGTCTATAGACTATTATCACGATCTTCCAAATGCTAGGGAAGATGGGGAG